ATTGTTCTGTTAACACTCAGCCATTGATTTTTTTTTTCATGCTTCATTTAATTTGAGCCAAGCGTGACACTGCATCACGCAAGCAGAATTCAGCATAAAGCGTTCCAGAGACTGGAGAGTGCAAAGGGGCAGAAAGGAATGCGGCTGTGTGTTTTGAAGGGGAGGGGGTTTCAGGTCTGAGTTTGAGAGATGCAAATGTATAAAGAAGATGAGGAAACGGGGGTCAGTATACCCTGTCGCAACTGGATTAACTGTGTAGGTACCACCTGATGTTGTCATTGTTTCTATCACTGAAGTTGATTTTAGTCCAGTTTACCTCTGTGGTATCACCGTCACTTAGTTTCTTTTTTAAAATCTTTAAAAACATTTTTTTAGCTTAATCTAAAATCAAATTTAAACTACTGAACACCATTTGATGATGATTTACTAAGCAGCAGCTTATATAAATTTGCTGTCAACATCTATTTATTCATTTACCCCCCCCCCCCCCCCCAACATATTGAAGCTTTGTTAGGATTATGTTTTAGTCTTCTTATTCAGCATTCTTTTAAAAACACATACACATGTCCTTTGTTAAAAAATCCTTTATTTTTACTCATATTTCACTATTTGACTTTTCTGTTAATGGTAGAAAAACTAAAAACTAAATATGTCTGTTTTTTTTCTTTTGACTGTTGAAAATGCAAAAACACACTGACTGGAAGTTGTGGTTTATGTGGAGGAATCACAGAGGCCCTGCAGTGTGGTGCGGTTAGGCATGCAACACCATCCACTCCTCCACATAAACCACAAGTTAAGGCCAGAAAATATGGTTAAACAGGTTTTTTTTTTTTATTGGCTTTGGGGATTTTATTTTTCCATTCTGTAAACTATGTAATTAAAATTAAACCATTTTCAATGTTATTTCTATTTTCATAGTTTTAAAGAAAAAAAGAACTCTGACTTCAGTTTGTTTGCTTTTTCCACTTTGAAGCGAAAATCAAATCAACACTTGTTTGTTTTTTTGTTTTGTTTTTTAGAAAATACTTTCCTCTGAATGGGAAAATCCAATGACCAAAACAAACAGACTGTTCTCCCACTCATGTTCATTTTCTCTTTGCCAATCGCACACAGACGGTCCAGTTGATGCCAAACAAACAACTTGATTAGATGCCCCAAAATTTGGAGCTAACCCTGCCCTTCTGCAGAATGGGGAGCTGGGTTCTTCTTGTAGAATGTATAGTTTGTCAGAAATTCATAGAGGAGCTGTATCTTTAAGCTCTGAACCACTTTTATATATAATTTTTTTTCCCCCATACTAGATTCATCCAGACTTTCCTAAGGGGCAGGGTACTTCCTGGACGGGCCACCCCTCCATCAGGGGGCCAATACAGAAACAAATGAGACAAACAACTAATACGCACTTGTTTCCACTCAGAGCCAATTTTGAGTCACTAATTAATCTGTTGCACTAACCTCTTACCTAATATGGAAGGATGACAACAATTATAATTCTTTCTGCTGTCCGGTGATAATCCTACTCCCGTCACAGCTTTGCAACTCTCTGGTAAGACTGTGATTATTTCCCCCTCATTTGAGGGTATCATAGATTGTGTGGGAAAGAACATGTTATATCAAACTTATTCAGTGAATGAGTTAAATTTGCATCTTAACACTAAATAAAACACCTCTTAAACCAAATGCCATGCGAGGCCTCCATTGCTACCTTTGGGGACTTTGACCATATCACAATGGACACAATCCTACCCACCTGAGCTCCATAGTACAAACCATGACTGCCCATTGTCACCCAAAAGGCAAGCCATTGGTCACAAGACATCAACGATCTTCCGAACAAGAAGAAGAGGGCAACGGGGGGTTAGGTGAGACCGATCCAGGGAATCTACAGGAACCAAAGACTCATTTCCCCCAAAGTGTGTCACAGGAAATCATTTCGAAGAGTTTTCGAATTTATCGAAAAATCGCGGACCAAATAGTTTGTGTGGGAAAGTATTTTGCTGGCATATGCACTTTTCTGTATAAATAGCTCATATTTAAATTTCCACTATGTATTATTTTCTGTTTCATTGAACCTTTTAATGTTCACATTTTTGTGCTCTTTTTTGCTCAATTTATTCTATTTTACATTTCTTTTAAATTTCGAAGCACCCGTGACCCGAACATTTTCCCCTTCAGATGAATAAAGTGTCTCTCTTTTGAAGCCGCTTCAAAATGCATATATGAAATTGGCTTATGTCATGTAGTTGGCTTTTAAAGTAGATTACAAGCATTATGAGTTGTGAACGATACCCGTTGGGTGATCTTCTAAATAATAAAACATTTTTACAAGTTGCGCAGCTACTTCGTAATGCCTCTAGCCTTTCTATTCACCGTGCATGCCGTTTACTCGGGTGTTGTTTATGCATAATTCAGCACAAAGTCCACCCTTTGGCCAGTTTGCCTTGCACTTGCTGTCCGGCTCACCTGCGTTTCTGAAACTTAGAATCTTTCCAGATGAAAGACCTGCTGAGTTTCCATCTCAACGCATTTAGAGTAAGTCAAAATGTCAGATGGTTGAATCTCCTGATGATTTGTGAGGTGGGTCATACGTCTTGGCTGCTAGTGGCGCCTGCGTCCAAACTTGACGTCGGTATTGAATCTCGACCGTAGCTGCAAACGGCCTCTTCATCACAGTGTCAGTGCCGTCATCGGGGCTTTCAGTCTGATACACCCTTAAGGGCCGACAGTTGCCGCGAGACGTCTGGGCCCAGTCTGAACGGTTCAGTCGGGTGTGTTGGATATAAGGCGGGAGACTTATAATGCTGAGCAACCGTGTGTGTGTGTAAATAAGTCTTCACAGGGGAAGAACACAGTCAATGTATCTGTGGAAGTGGGTGGTTTTGCGCTGCTTGAGTACGACTTTCTCGTGCTTCACTCTAAACGTCCCTCCTCCCTCTCGCTTTCTGTTTCCCTCCCTCGAGCAGCTGCTTTCCTGTCTTTAGCTGGGAACTGCAGCCAGTATGTTTTTTCTTTTTTTTTTTTTCTTTTTCCCCCTCATCCTCACGCGTCACAAGCAGGAACGCACCGACTTACTGGCTTGCACAAGCTCTCCTCTTGTCTGTTTCTGCCCCGTTCTCCCACTCGTCTGGCTGGCGACCGCTCGCTCTGAACTCAGTTTGGAAACGCACCGCAGAGCAAATATTCCCACTATTCCACTTGGCTGCCATGATTACGCTGACATTGCTGTGAGAACTGCCGGACTTTTTACAGAGATGCTTTCATGGTGAGGTGTCTCTTTTTTTTTCTTTCTTTCTGAAAGGCCACTTGTGTTTTTCAGCCTCCTGTTTATTCTTCTCTGTCTCAAAGTGCTGCTGTGGGATACATCCAGTGCAGACAGTCTCCAAAATCCCTTTTCACTGCATATTGGCAAGGCATTGGCAAAGTTTCACTCAGAATCAGCTGTCATTGTGAAATTATGAATTTTTGGAATGAACTCATTTGACCAGTTACATCAGTCTCAACCACATTCTTTTACTTGGATTTTTAAATGCCCTGTTGTTGAACATCTGTCTGAAACCAGTCATCAGCTAGTTGTAGTGATATGCAATGCTTATGTTGCACAAAAGTGTACCTTGTTAGTGTCTTTTTATTTGTAAGATTAGTTTACATCTTTGCTCTTGTCTCACTTTATCAAGCCATGAAGTAGAATTATTGGTCTGTGAAGGGGGGCAAAAATCTTTCCAAAGAGTTTTTTAATAAGTTTGTCATTGGAAATCACTTTTGGATTCCTTATTCATGAGTGGAGATGGTTAGAAATGCCTGGGATTAAGTTTCCCATTCATTTGTTTTCTTTTGTCTTTAACTAAGCAGATGTAACCGTTTTTCTGTTTGATTTGAATCGGAGAAAAAATTGCCCCTCGTATTGGGCTTTTCTCTTTTGCATGCTTGGTGGAGGACAACAGCTCTTAACTTAACATCCATCCATTATCTATGCACCTTATTCCCGGATGGGCCTGTGGCCTATCCCAGTTGACAACGGGCGAGAGGCAGGTACCCCTCCGGACAGGTCACCATAGCAGGGCCACACAAGACACACAACCAAACACACTCACATTCACTCCTAGGGACAGTTTGGAGTATCCATGACTGTTTTTGGATGATGGGATCCAAACAGAACCTCTCCTTTTCCATGTCAGTGCCCATCTGACCTGAGATAAGCAGTACACGTCATGATCTTTGGCTCCCTTAAACACCTCTTTCATTGTGCCTCATGTTCAGTATTGAGGGCATTTGCAGAAGTGATATTTTGAATGTGGGTTTTCTAACATTGTCATGGTATATGAAGCTGAAATTAAACAATTGAAGCTGAGATTGTTTTTTTTTTTTTTAGATTTCTTTTTATGCAAACCCGCGGTCTATGAATGCCTCTGTGTTAAACCTGTAGAAATGCCAGCTGAGTGGATAGTAAAACCACAATCACGGGCTGGGAATGCAGTCTGCGCGACACATTCTCGTTTGTCCCGAGATGGTCCCATCATGTGTCTTTCTTTGGGAGGGAAAATTGTGGTTGAAACATGTCGCTTGTCACTCGTTTTGGCCTCCAGCCATGTGCACAGTGTTCTGCAAGTGACTGCCTGTGACTGGGTTATCTGTGAATACTTAATCCTGTTGAACATTTCATCATGTTATGGTCACCCCCGTTCTATACGACTTCCATGTCAACCTCCACATTTTCACACATTTAATCTGTAACTTTTACGTTCCAGTTTTGGCTCATTACTACAACTGAACATTTGCTATAAATGCAGAACTTTTATGTATTTGATAAGTGAGGAAGGATTAAAACGGCAGCAAGCAAAAATATTCTTAATTATATATACACACACACACACACCATTGATTTGTAAAGCTGTTAGATATCTTATATTTTCATTAAGATGCTCTCATCTGTAATTTAAAGATTTTTAATGTCTTGTAATCTTGGAAAAAAACATCTCCATCTGATCCATAATGTCCTCCTTGTCTGTTTCAGGAATGCGGTTCCCCTGGCTGAAAACGACATGATTTCACCCGTTTCTCTTCACAAGGACCTCACAGTGCTGTTGTTGTGCCCATGAGGTAACATCAGGACCAGCTGGCCCCTTAACGCCACCTTTGGTCCATCCCTTTTTTTCCTCCCCTCTTCCCCCTCTGCCTCTTGATCATTTGCCCCCACCAAGCCATGGGCCAGAAGATTTCCGGCAGCATCAAGTCGGTGGACGTAAGCGGGGAGCCCTCCTACCGACCAGTTCGCCGAGAACTCCGGGGCCCCGATTTCTGTCGGCCGCCGCGACTAGACCTGCTGCTGGACATGCCGCCGGCCAGCCCCGGAACGCAACTTCACCACGCCTGGAACCCGGACGACCGCTCGCTGAATGTCTTTGTCAAGGAGGACGACAAGCTCACGTTTCACCGGCATCCCGTAGCGCAGAGCACGGACTGCATTCGGGGCAAGATGGGCTACACCAGGGGCCTGCACGTGTGGAGGATCCACTGGCCGGCCAGACAAAGGGGCACACACGCCGTCGTGGGGGTGGGCACCGCTGAAGCATCCCTACATTCAGTTGGCTACATGGCCCTGGTGGGCTCGGACTCGGAATCCTGGGGCTGGGACCTGGGCCGAAACAAACTATACCACGATGGGAAGAACCGATCCTCGTCCGCGTCGGCGCCCACATACCCCCGTTTCCTGGAGCCGGACGAGTCGTTTGTGCTGCCAGACTGCCTTACAGTAATACTAGACATGGACGAAGGGACTCTCAGCTTCATGGTGGACGGGCAGTATCTAGGAGTGGCTTTTAGGGGGCTGAAGGGCAAGAGGCTGTATCCCATTGTCAGTGCCGTGTGGGGGCACTGCGAGGTGTCGATTCGCTACATAAATGGACTTGATCGTAAGTGACACACTGATACACACACACTTAATGACAACAAGAATTCTACTTCCACATATAATTGCTGTACGCATATAACTGAGAACAAACTCTGTGTTACGATGCATATATGAAGGTCCTCTACTAGAAGGCTATTGGAGACTTGCTCGACAGTGGTCTAAGATCGCGTACCAGTCTTTGACATTCCTTTTAATTGCTGGAATACACGTTGTATAAGGGCCCAGGTCAAGCGCAAACGTTCCAGATGGTGCTTTACTGACTCCGTGTCCACAGCGATGAGCTGTGCATGTGTGAATGTGCAAGCAGACCGTTGAGGAATCCTGGAGGGTTTCCCAGTGTGTCTGGCCTGGCTGGCCTTTGATTTTGGATTTACTAAACTCTGAAGTGAAACACGATCAATCATATAAATATAAAATGATTTTATTTTTTATTATTATTATTCCCTTGCTCCAGATTTTCTCAGTTATGTGAGCAGAGAGATTTTAGCACAGTGAAAGAAACTGCGTGAAAGCTTCCAGTTCACAACAGAAAATTGATTTGTACAGCGTACAAAAAGACCCGATGAAGTTTCAGTTTGAAGGACAATTTAACTGCATCCAAATATGTCAAAAAACTTCTATCGGTATTTTCTAACTGTGGTTCTTGAGGTTTTTGAATTTTTCCTGCTCCAGCACATCTGCTTCAAACCACCAAACCGATTTCAAGTTATGCCAGAAATTTTCTTGGCTTTTGTCAAATTTAGACGAGTACGGTTCTTATTCATCTTGTAACATAGCTGTCAACTTACTTTGCCTATAGTGGGGAAAATGTTGTCATCTTTACTCACACACATGACCAAACAAATTAAAATAATAAGAAACACCCATGCAAAAAACAACAGCAACTAATGAAACAATATTTTTCTGGCCCAGTTGTGCAGAGAAGGTGTCATTATTGCCACTATAAAGAAAAAAAAGAACTGGTTCTGGACATGCTTGGGTTTCTGGATTATGTGTATCATACAATTTTATGAAATCGACAACAATGTCTCATCATATTTTTAATTTTTACTGTGAACATAATAACAATCGAGTAATATGTATCTCGTCTTTAGGTTTCATGTTAGATGTCTGACTTGAAGCACATCTCTGTTCGGTATATAGAGACTGGAGATGGCTCCTATATGTGAAGACTGACTTTTGTTGGCTTTTCTCATTCCTCACCCCCAACACGTCACTCCTGCCAAGCTTCCCTTGTTTTCTTTTACTTCCTTGGAAATGAGAATGGATGGGGTGTCATTTTTTTCTCCCTGTGGTCCCTCAACTCATCCCTTTGATCATGTTTTTCCTTCTTCACTATGTTTCATTCTGCACTTGACTCTTTTACCCCTGAATGCCAGAGGTTTTGATCATTATTAACTTATCAGACATGCTTTGGTCTTTGGTCAAAGCATGGGTCAGTCTTGGAACTGTAATGGCCAAATAGTGCCACAGTTTTTTTGGTCATTATAAAGGCAATAAGGTGGGCCAACAAGCAAAATATGGGTAAAGGTGCTGTTTAAACGGTGTTAACCCCCCCTCCCCCCCTTACACATGAACTCCGTTTGACTCTGACTCCCATTGTCTTATCTCTATCCTCTTGCTTTTTACAGTCTTTTTTCCATCCTACTTTCAACACTAACCCTTCCTTTCAGAGTTTAAACACACAGACAGTGGCAGGTTTCTGTGGAAATGGGTTTGCTGACTTTATGTTGGATAGGTGGGTGGTTAGTTGTTGATCAGGAAGCTGCCTGCTGGCTTATTGCCCAGCAGCCTACTCCAAAAAAAAGAAAGAAAGACCAATCAAAAGTAAGAGCAGTTTTCTTTTCAACCTCCCTGAAGTTTAGAGCTATGGGTTTTGCCTCACATTATAGGAATGTTGTTTATTATTGTATATATGTTATTGACTGGTTAATGCCACCACTGAAACATTTAAATAACTTGGTTTCTTGGTATTAAGAAACTAAGTTGATCATTGATTCATTTAGCTTTTTATTCTCCTCCCTCCAACCCCTCAGCTGTTGCGAAAGATATCTGTAGAGGTATTGCATACATAGCAAACCTCCAACATAATGCCCACAATAAGGCTTTAGCAGAGACTGGTTTACAAAATGTTTCAAGTGCTTAAAACCTTCCAAGAATTAATAAGGTGCTATGAAGTTTGAGAGGGAGAGTAAAACCAGGATTTACCCACTGTTTAAACTTATGGTTCCATAAGCTGAGGTGAAAGTTCCCATACAGAGGTTTACTTTACAGAATCTGTTATCCCTGCGCTCTATAGCCAGACTAAAGCTCAGCCAAAGAACTCTTGAGTAAAGCTAGTTGGTTTCTGGTTCCAAACACACGGTTATTGATGTAAAAAAGTTCATCAATCAGGGTGAACCAGGTCAACGATTGACTTGCAATGTGATTTTTGTTTTAGGTTCTGTGCCTTCACTTATTGTGCCAACGGCCTCTGACACAAACACTTTAATCAGTTTGTTCCATGGCTCTTCTTAACGGCCGTGTCAGCTTAGCTTTTATTCCCCGATCAGAAGCTAAATTAAACTGACATCTGCGTGAGAATAACCGGATAGAAAGTCGCATATTGTCAGCGAAAGTCGCATACTGGCTTCTAAGTATTGGATCCTGACTCTTGAATTTGCAGCTCGGTATGTAACGGCCGGGCTTTTGGGCCCTCCTGCGCTGACCTACTCTTTATTTCCTACATCTTGATCTCATTCTATCCATTCCTTAAATATATGCTTCTTATCCATTTTCCCCCCACACCCTCTCTGACCTGACTCTGAGCTGAGGGTGGAGGAAAGTTTGAGAAGTTTGTGACAGGAATGAAAAGAAGCGTTGAATGCAAACTACTCTAACCGGCATAATCGCTGCAAGAGCTGGAAATAGGACGCCTCGGCTCTCTGTGATGACGTTGGCGTGGACAATAGAACTGTGCTCTCCCAAAGTCAAAAAGTTTTGTCGCAAGATGGTGAGCTCAGTGACGTTTTTAGAGCCGGAGCATGTCTGACCTCGCAGACAAAATCGGTGCCTTCACCTATAAGTTGTAGACGAGGGGCAAGCGACTTGACCATAGAAATACCCCTCCATTTGAGACGATGATTGAGTTTGCCGGGTCTAATGACTGCGATGCAAGCTCTGGGATTCCATTTCACCGAGGGAGTCTCCCCTCATTGGACAGAAAGCCGTGAACATTCTACTGCCCTTTTTAACATCCTGCCTCTGTGAGATGGGTCTTTGCATGCAGAATGCTGGTAGCAGAATTCATACATTGGTTTATCCAGATAAATCCAGAATTATCAAGTTCTCAGTAGTAATTTAATTCAGTGGGAGGGAGAAATGACAAAATAATTGAGCACCACTGCCTTAAGGGGCTGTACGTGAACTAAAACTAGGTCAGACAGGCGCGCTAGTCTTATGCTAATAAATTGAACCAGCGTGACACGGAGCCCGTGCCTCGACCTGTTACCTCACCGCATCTCTCATAATGAAGGTGAGGCGGGAAGAAAGGTTGAGCTAAAGCACCGGCGAATTGGAGCACGCACTCAAAAGATTGGCCTGTCTCCCCACTTATTTCTAAGTAGGACATAACCGGGGCGGCGTTTCCTCGCATTCAGCTAATGCCTGTCAGCGCGCCGACAACTCGCGCAGCGGAACATGTTTGGCTGCAGGCGTCGGAGTAAGGGAGGCCGAAGGGAAACAGCCGCTTTGCTTTTAGCTGTCTCACGCGGTGACATGGCGAGGGCAGATGAGCTGAGGCGACAGCACGGAAAAGCCGCCACTTTGCGAGCTGGGTTTGAATGGCTGCCAGCTCGCCCGCAGACCTGCCAGTGGGCCACGCTCCGTCTTCCCTTCAGTGTGGCATAAACCTCTGAGTGTCTCTGCTATTTAAGAAAATATGTTAGGGCTTGCAAAGAAGTGGGGGGAACGCGCACCTTGATGGCTACATGCCACATTGGAGAAAATAAAAGACGAAAGTAGCTGAGATATTAACAAAAAAGAGCAGAGACGGATCCACTAAGCTGTCTCAAAAGTCGGGGTCTTCCTTTTAGACCTTTTGGATTATAGTGCGTACCATTATATAGGCTTGAAATAACACCTGGTTGGACTTTTCTGTGTTCGAGTAGCCTTGGAAAGAAGAAAAAAAAAGGTTAAACTGTAGGAGCCCAGCCAGAGTAAGATCATTTATGATGCGAAGCATCTGCATTCAGTTGAATGAGGAGAGATATCCGCTGATGGAAGATGTTTAAAGATCGGCAAGAAGCGCCTCAAAAGTCAACGTCTGCGAGGACCTCCAACTCGATTCTCCCGTCGGCGCTCGTCAGCGGCGCATGACGGGGCCACGCGTCTCCCCGGGCAACCTTTACCATGGAGACCAGCAACTGTCTCCGTTTCAGTTTGTAGTCGTCACCGCGCCACCTTTCAGGAAGGCGCCGCACCTGGAACAACACGTCACTTGTAGTGAGAGCGTCTGACAGGAAGTGGTGACTTTTTTTTTTAACCATTTTTTCGTTTTATATGCCAATTTTGCAGATGCGCACAGCCAGATTAGAAGCGATGGGCTGGAGGAGAACCCGATGCCAACACAGGCTGAAGGGGAAACTACAGCTAACTTAATTCAACACGTGGCAGGAAGATGGATCCATGTGGCAGCAGTTTAAAAAAAAAAACTTTTTTTTTTAAACACCCTTCAGGAATTCATAGAGAAGTTCAACATCGTATGCAAAGTACATACAAAAGGGAACCACGAAAACAGATGTTTGAGCTTTTAAAAATGCGTCTTTCGATTCCAGTAGTCAGTTTTTATCTGATGGTGGCTTGAAGGCTTTAAACAAGATTCTGGTCCTCACCTCCAAGTGCTCACGGAGCCACAAAAAAAGAATGTTTATATAACCAGAAGAAAGCTCAAGTGTCTCGACAGCCTTTCTGTCTCCAGTCCAGATCCGTGAACACTTCTCGGGCTCGCTGTCAAACAGCTTCTCATTTGTGCCGTCAGGTTGTCGGTTGTGCTAATGTCGTGCAGACTGTGGAGAAAATGGCTCAGCCGCTCACCTGAAATAGCTTATTCGGACTATTTTACACGAGGCGTGTGTTTGTTTTGCAGGAAAAAGGGGGAATAAAACAAAACACTTCAGTTACCCCGTAAGAAGTGTGTGTTTTAATGTTGGTACATAAGTGTGAGGACCTGTCCTTATCCCCATACGGAGCGTGTAAGTGGACTCTTTACCAGCAGGAGCTGTGCTCGCCCAGATGGCGCTGCCAGGTGGAGCTGCTCAACATTCATAGACAAGCAGCAGTTGAGAATCTGTTGGACATGTAGACATCACTTGCTTATCAAAACCGGTGGGAGGGCAGTCGGCACTTTTGTCGAATTGCCCGATTTGTCGACGTTGTAAATATATCCTACAACCATTGGCTGCGCTTTTTTTTTCGTTTTCTGCCAGTTTGCTTTTGTTTGTGATGTCAGTGCAACCAAAGGTAGGTATGGGAATAGCGGGAATGGCTTCCTTCTGTCATCCCGTGCCGACGTGAAACTAACCCCGCAGGTTTACGCCGACCGGTCGTGACGCGTCGTGTAGGATTGCGTTGCTTTGACGACTAAGAGAACGAAGAGGTGGGCCGCTTCGTGCCACCTTCTGTGTGTCAGTAAGACTGAAAAGCCTCTCCCTCTGTTTTTCACCCTGTCTCCCCCCCCCCAGCGGAGCCCCTCCCTCTGATGGACCTGTGCAGACGGGTGGCTCGCTTGGCCCTGGGCAGAGAGCGCATTCACCACATCGACGCCCTCCCGCTGCCGCAGACTCTGAAGAACTACCTCCAGTACCAGTGACGTCCAACGGGCCCCCCCGGCCGGGGAGACGCCGGCGGAGCCCCCCCCATGAGGGGACGTCCGCTGACGTGGCCGCTGATACTGATCAGGAACAGTCGGTACAACTTTGTGATCACCAAAATGATTTGTTTACACTTTTCTTTGGTGGGTTGAAGATGGATATTTTGATCTACCGTTCTTTTTTTTTTTTCTTCTTTTTTTTCTTTTTACTTGTAGAATTATTTTTCACTGAGAGAAAAATTATGGTGTAAACGGACGTGGGTGAGAGATGATGCGATGCAAGACGAAACACAAGTTCTGGTTGAGAAAAGGCCTTACAATGCTGTAGTTTTTAACCTAGTCCATGTAAACTACTTTTTATTTTTTAGAAAGGTTTTATTTATAATCTCAACAACACGGCGTTGTCTGTGACCCACATAAAATGACCATATGCAACAGGAAGTGGCCGTTTGCACAGGCTACCACGCACAGATCACATATATGTTGGCGTGTGTCACGGTTGTGGAAACGATTTACACGCCGTCTGTGGCGAGAAGACCACTCGCTGACATGCGGCCACCTGCAGGGAGGCGATCAGCATCTCCAGACTGGATTGAGTATTTAAAACCGGCCCCCTCCCATCAACTGATCTCTTGCCTATCGACGAACTCCCCTAGCTTAAGTCTCCACAGGCTGGTGAAGTGGGAGGATGAATCCTCCTGGTCGTCAGCTGTCAATTTATCGTTAGGAGAAGCTGCTTTTCCAGCTGCTGACGTGCCCCCCCCCATACAGAGTCCGTTCAGACAGAGCGCACACGACCCGTTATCCCGTTATGTCGGTGGATACTTAATCCCCCACAAAAAATCAAATGTTGCGTTTTTATCCACCTCTTCCAATGTTTTACTGTTGTTTTTCTTTTTAGCTTTTTACCCCGGATCTACATTTAAATATTTTTTATTTTTTTCAAATGCCTTTGAAAGACTTGTCTGGGGACATGAAATCCGGCGTGCATATTTTCCAGAATGTGATGCCATGAGAATCTTTTTAAATGTGAACAAGAATAAACTGCTTAAAACAAAGGCTCCTTATTTTTGTTCTGTTTTTTACTAATTTGACAGATTAATCTGCTTCTACATGAGGTTGCTTGGATGTACTCGCTAAAAATGTTTGTCTTTTTTACAAACTGCCCATGCCAAAATGAGCCATGTAACAAAAACACAACTTGTTTCTTTTCAAGCATTTTTTAAATGTAAGTTGCTGCCTATAAAGACAATTAATGTGAAAAGAGCTCAACATTCATAGAGGGGGGCATTTTGTTCTGCTGTTCTAAAGGAAGCATGCCAGTTATTTAATCAAAACCTCAAAGGAATTTGATGTTCAGGTTGATTCTTGCTGTCCTGATTAAGCATTGGCTGCCTTGCCCTAAAAAAGCAACAGCTGGTGTGTAGCCCCCCCCCCCCCCGCCCCATTAAAAAGGCATGCTTTGGTTTAATTAGTTAAGTAGAATTTGTTATTTTCAAACTATTACTCGGAGGCCCTGTGAATAATGGTGTCGCCTCAGTTTTTGGTACAAAAAAAACAGTCCCTTGATAAAAGTGAACATAGTTCTGCAGTCAGAGGTGAAGATTCTCTCTTAGCTGGCTCTAAACTGGTTCTACTCGCTCTGGACAGGCTTTGAGCAGCAGAACAAAGATGACGGTACGACCAAAGTACAGTTGTCTGGCTTTTCCTAGCACCGTGAACGGGATTTGACTAAATGACACAAACTTGTCTTGATATCATAAGTATATTCATGTTTACGCATTTAACAGACACTTTTATCCAAAGCGACTTACAAAGTAGACACAATGTGACAGTTATAAGTTCTCTAGAGGAAAATCCCCGGTCAGAATCGGGGGTGACGGCAAAGAAAGTGAAGTGCAAAAAGAGTGGTAGAGGGGTACAGAGGTATGGGTAAGAGTAAGGATAGGAGATTCTCTAAGGAGGTTGGTCTTTAAGACCCGTAAGACCCTATCGTGAAGATAGACAGGGTTGCTGCTGTTCTTGTAGCGATTGGTTAGGTCATTCCACCATCTTGGAACAACGCTTACAAACAGTTTTGAATGTCTTAAGTGTGGTGTAGGCACTGCTGGACCACAATCCATTGATGACCGGAGTGACCGAGTTCTGACATAAGCCTTTGCGAGTAGACGGGATCCGTACCCTTAAGCACTTTGCAGGCTAGCATCAGAGACTTGAATTTGATGCGGGTAGCCAGGGGTAACCAGTAAAACTCAACAAGGGGGTGATGTGAGACCTTTTGGGCTGATTGAAGACCAGACGGTCCGCCACGTTCTGGATCATTTGGCTGGGAGACCAGTCAGGAGTACGTTACAATAGGCAAGGCGGGAGATGATCATAAAATGTACCGGGAGCTGGGTAGCATGTTGTGTTAGGTATGGCCGGATCTTTCTTGTGTTTAGTAATGTGAAGCGACAAGATCGAGAAACGGAGGTAACATGATCTTTAAAGGTCAACTGGTTATCAATCTTGACACCCAAGTTTCTTGCTGCCTTTGATGGAGTCAGAGACAGGGATCCAGTCTGGATGTGAATATGCTGGTAATGCAGATATTGAGCATGATGCAGAGGCCCAGATCTGCTTTAAGGTCAAGTTTGGGTTCGATTTCCCCACATGTGGGGGGTCCTGTCCAGCATATAGCTCTGCTCAGTAGTACAGGGACCCTTTTTAAAGCAATATTGAAATGAAAGTTGAAGCTAATGACTTGTTTGATTTAGTGAGAAGTGACTTCATCCCTATTAATCTGCCCTGTGATGTCCTTGCTCTTCTCTATTGTTTTACTTTAGACTATTTTTTCCTCACTAACCTACTCCATTCTGCATCGAAACCCTCAGACTCACCTGCTTTTTACTTCAGCGACGTAAGATTTAGTCAAACAAGTTAGTGAAAATGGAAGTTCATCCCTTCTTCATCCTCTTCCTCCTCTAAATATACTATCTATATGTAGACAAGCGCAGTGTGATGAGGAAGAAATGGAGGATTTGAGGCTGGTACCTTGCTACAATAACAGTCAGAGTCCAATTTTTTTTTTCCATTGGGAACTTGATTTGGCATTAATCGCAGAAAATGGAGAGATGCATTTAGTTGGAAAAAGAAAAAGGCTAGAAATGTCCGTCTGTGGTATCAAAAGACGGATTGGGAACTGACCTCATCATGTCCCAAAAATCCAGTTTGGAGCTTGGAATGTTGAATGAAGCAGCCTGTAGGATACAGTAACCTTTACCAGAACTGTTTCAGCTGGAACGCCGTCACTAGTTGAACATTATCCATTCCTTACAAGAGAAATTATGTAATCAGATTAAAAGGGGACGGTTTAGCTTGTATAAATATAGACTTTTTTATTCTTTTCTGTGGTAGTTAAATGCTTTTTGGCAACGGTCAAACATACATCCCATTAAGTAAATGGAGTTCTAGATTTCCAATTGGGAAGCGTGTCCCCTGAGGTTTGGAGTTGTGTTTTTTTTTGTTTGGTCAAACGTCGAGGTGACGTTACACAAGAGTTAGTCGACCAAAAATATTGATCTTCTGGGTCGACTTTGCTTCAGGAAAAAGGTCACTTCTGTGGCGATTTATGCTCCAGTGGAGGTTCAAATGCCCAACGCAAAACTAGAGACGTGAACCCAGAAAAAATGTCTTTCTGTTGGCCCATTCAGCCCCTCTAAGCCCTTCCACAGTCTTTGTTTCTCAACTGTTTATGACAGTGCATAAGGCTAAGATAAGGCCTATTGTTGTTTTACCCTGCCTTCCCATTTCCTCCCCCTTTTACTGGTACATATATTTATAAAGATGTGCATATACATGTATGTCCACAAATACATCCATCTACAGACAAGTAAACATACATACTATACACACACATACATTAAAGAATTGAATAAAAACCTACAACAAGACAGTCAAAACCTCAAAAGCAAATGAGTTATTAAAATACAATAAAGTAAATAGATAAACCAATAAAAAATTGAAAATATTTCAAGGTACATAAAAGGTCCAAAGGTAAAATCCCAAATGAAAAATAATGATAATTACATTTTTGCTCAATGTCTTATTTTGGTTTCATTCTTTAATTATTTATATGTGTTGTATTTAAATGCAACAGACCAGGACTGCACTTGTTAGTTTTTTTTTTTAAGATTACGTCAGGATGTTGCAAACCAACATGCAACACTAGTATGCAAACATTGCAAACCACTGCAAACCATTGTGTTCCCAAAACTGCGGAGGTCTTCCATTTTTCCTCTGGCCATACTTTAGGGTCAAATACAAAGAAAAGGTCTCATGCCTTGGGAGAGTCAGATATCAAACTTTTAAACAGACTTATCTCTGTCTTCAGCATCAGAAAAATATTGGCTCTTTTGGGGCTTTATTACCGAGAAGAATGACGGAAATAAATGAATATTAACACAATCCTCAATATGTTTGTCCAAGGTATTCACTCTTATCATCCCTCTGTTTATCCATTTTCGATACTTAATTCACACTGTCCAACTTTAGTATGTCTGTAAATCAAAACTCTTGTTTTATCTTTTCTTCAAAGGCCAATTTATTATTAAGTCTAATTTTTAAAAGTAAAACTATATGCCTCAATATAAAATGTCATGGTGGTTTAACAATCCAGGATCTGTGGACATGATGAAGTATTCCTGTAAATGTGACAGTTTAGTTGCAAATAAATTGCTGTCTCTGGAGATAAGATCTAAACTAAGCAGAGAACGATTGACACAGATATAACACAGTTATGTCTTTGTCTTCATTTGAACATTCCTGAAACATGCTTAAATTAGTTTTCATGCCAAAATAGATGGAGTCACCACACTCTCCACCTGGCCTACTTCAAGGGTGACTCCTGCCACAACTATGAAAGATCTAAATGTTCTGTCCATAGCATATACATGTTTCTCATCTAAGGCATCTGCATCCTGTCAATGATTACAACTTTTTTATAGCTGGAATTTTTTTTCTTTTATTTATCTTTTTTTTTAAAATACAACCACGGAGTAAATATTTGCTCCATTTTTCTTTCCAGGTAATCTATTTAAAGTACCCCAACTAAACAGTGCACATAAAAAGCTGTTGTGTAAGGCTTCTTCAACAAAATGACTTGAGTTTGACACACAAGTTTCATTATACCATTTTTCTCTGCTAATAACAAATGGGATGTATTTCCTTTGGCAAATCAAAGATAATCTACTTTTATGTTACATGACAGAAAACGCCAGTTACACTCTACCAGAGAGGCCTTTTCTTTAAACCATTCACAAGAACACACAATTCAAATTATGTGTATTGGACTTTTTCAAAAGTTTGGATTTCTTTTTAACAGATGAAGTGGATGATTATATATCTGCATTACATTTGGTTAAACTCCTGAGACCTGAGCTTTTATTTAGTGTGTGTTTATGCTTTTCCTGAGATATGTGAGATTAGTAGGACTTAATAAGTTTAATAACTAGACTTTGTCATGGTGCTGGTAGTTTTTCTTCAGAGCTTTTACTGTATGTAAAATGTGTATTTATGGGTTTGAAAGTTTACTCAGAAATTGTGTTCCGAAGGTCCAAATGTCTTATTTACAACATTTAGATCAAAAAGATTTGTGTCTGATAGAATGTACTATGAGGCTAAGAGGTCAAAGTAAAAAAAAATAGTGTCATTGTAAAGTGAGGCAAAAATGCAACGTCCTCATATGAGGATGCTGGGACTCAGGAGGTTAAAAATTTAGTATGAACATGCAGCTTTACTTTTTGCAGCACCATTGTTTCCCCATGCCACTTTTTTTTGGTGTTTTTTTTCTCCCATTTCACAGAACAAAAGACTTTGTTTGAGGGTTTTTTGCTTTTTTCATTAGCATTTTTCCAGTGCAAAGGAGAAATATTATATGTGAAAGAACAAAGCTGCTGTAGTTTGAACCTATAAATATAAATATGACCATGCCTGTTTTTTCAACTTTCCCCAAATGTCACCTGCTGCCTTATTAGGTGAAATCAAGCCATTTTACTTCAAGGGTGCATATTAAAGGAGTGTGGTATGTCTGTGGTTGCTTCACAAAAAAATGTGG